GAGTGTCTACAAGTAACTGACTGTTCTAGACCCTGGACTGGAACTGAAAACAGGGCTGACAAGATGCCTGCTTTCCTGGCCCATAGATTTCTTAGCATGCAGTGCAGATTTTCTACTTCATGGTCTAGCCCTTTACAATTTTTTCCATTGGAGAAAATTGTCTTCCTTCAAAAGAAATAAGATTATCCAATAAGATAATTTTAAGTATCATAATTACCATAAGCAATATACTAGGTGATTAAAAGAAACCAGTTTTAGGGGTAGACATTTTATGCCCAAGAACAGAATCTCCAGAAAGATTTAAAAAAAATTTTGGTGAGAACTGTATTTCATGTGACTGTAAGAGATTCACATGTTCCTTTTGTTTCTCCACAAGTTGTATGGCTCTAAGCAGAATCATTATCCTCAGCCACCGAGGGACTGTTCTCTGTTGACTTGGCTGTAGGTGTGGTCATCCTTGCTCAGACTGCAATTGGGACTTTGGGGAATGTGTCACACCTCTGTCATTATACCTGTTCTGTTTTCAGGAGACCTGGGTTGAAACCATCCGAGCAAATCATCAACCATCTGGCCTTGGCCAAAACCTTGGTCCTTCTCTGTGGAGGGATCCCTCAGACAATGGTGGTCTTCGGGTAGAAATCTTACCTAGGCGATACTTCATGTAAACTTGTCTTTTACTGTCACAGAGTGGCTTGGGGAAGTTGCCTCAGTCTCACCTGTCTCTTGGGTGGTTTTCAGGCCATACATATTAATCCCACAAATTTTGGATTGGAAAAATTCAAATTAAAATCTGCGGAGCATATTAATTATCCTTGTATCCTGAGCTGGGTGTTTTATTTGATAGTAAATATCGTTGTTCCTCTGAGAATAACTGGCCAGAGGAATAGCAGAAATGTCAGTGTGAAATCAAACCTTGGGTATTGCTCTCGTGTGTCTATTAGTGTAATTGCAGAATCACTATTTTCAGTTATTTTTGTCCTTGTTGATATAATTTGGGGCTGATGATATGGGTCAGTGGGTTCATTGTCTATTTCCTCCATAGGCATAAACAACAAGTCCAGCACCTTCACAGCAGTAGTCAACCCCCACTGAAGTCCCCAGAGGCCAGAGACACAAAATCTATTCTGACACTTGTTAGCACTTCCATCATCTTTTATTCTTTCAAATGCTTTTGAAATGCAGGTTTGCCTTATCAGCAATCCAGTCGTAACTTATGAACACCAGTGTGCTACTGACCGCTTGTTTCCCAGCTCTAAGCCCTTTTTTACTCTTCAGAAGTAACTCCTGTGTCTTCAGCTTCTGCTCTTCCTGATAAGGAAGATGTAGGACTTACCTATTTACTGACAGTATTGTACAATATTCACCTGAAATATCTTCTTTATACATCCATATATATTTTTAAAGATTTATTTATTTGTGCATACAGAAATGGGGAACAGGCCAGAGGTGCAGGGGCCGTGAGAGGACTCACCAGAAACAGAGCAGGCAGATTGTCAAAGTACACTGCTGAGGGGAGCAGTGGGTGGGTCACGAGAGATCTGCCACAGGGCAGGTGGGGATCGAACTCATGCAGAAGTGGCTTTAGCTTCTTAATGCTGCGCTTTAACCTGCTGCGCCACCAGGGAGGGCCAGGTTAAGGTATTATAAGTGAAAGGAGGTACTTAAAAGTTATCCAAGTTGCCTAACAATTACGAGCATAGTTTATGAATTGAGCAATAGTAAATTTGGGGTAAAGAAGACTTGGAAAGGAATCTTAAGACAGGAGACTTATGAACTAACGCAGGTGAGATGTGATGCTGGTTCTGATGAAGGTCATGAAACCAGCATGAAGAGAAGCATATGCACTTGAGAAATGCTTTCCTAGAGAGAAATAAGCACTAGGCTAAGGGGTTGTGCATAAGGGGTTGTTTGAGAAAGGCCTGTGTGGGCAGTGATTCACGTGCTTCTCTTGAGACTTGAGCATCTGGCTTGGTTGTGGTAATTCACGCTCCTTCATTCTGAGAAACCAGGGAGACTGTAGTTTGGGTGTTCAGATCTGCACGTTATTTTTACCAAGTGTACTGTGTCTCCGTGATGTCCACATCATGCCCTCGTCTAGTTCTAGATCACACTGCAGATGAGCAGTGTGAAAGTGGATTTGAAAATACACCACTGGGCTGCTAGTCACACACAGGTGATAGGAGCTTAGGCAGGACTGAGGTAAGAGGCAGGGAAATCGGAGAGTTAGGAGAGCAGGCCTGAGATCTGGTAACAAGTTAGCTTCATGAAGCATCAGCTAGAGGAAGCTACTAAGTCATGTAGATCGTCCTTGGTGAGAATGGGGAGAGTGGAAAGGAGAGGTTGAAGCAAAGAGTAGAGGAGGACCTTTGTTGGTGTCTTGAAAGAAGGTGCCACTGTGGCTGTGGGCAACATGGCAGTGAGCAGATAGTACAAATTAAATGAGAAATGTGGTAGGAAATTAGTTATTTTGACTTCAATTCTGAAAGAGAGCTATTGGAAGTTTTTGAGCAAAACAACATTTGATTTTATTTTGTTGTTGAATGTCTGTGTGGTTTTATCCCATTAAAGTTTATCCAAGCTGGGGCCATGTCTCCAAGAAGGGCTTCAGGTTAGAGCTGGCGGGAGCGACCTTGTGCCATATTTAGAAGTTGGGAGGGAAGTGGCTCCAGGCACCCTAAAGTGTAGCGCGGGGCACCGCTCTGCGGCCGCTCTCCGTGGTGCTGACGTGTCGCTGACGCGCTCTGCTGCTCCTCGCCGGGGCTGTGCCTGGGCTCTCCCAGGGCTGGGCCAGGTGCGTGTGAAGTCCTTAGCAGGATGCCAACGTCTGCAAGTGACCCACGCGGTAGAAGCTGGAGGTCGTGAGACTGACACAGGCTCCGGTTTGCCTTCGCTTTTCCTAGTTCACACCCAGCTTTTAATTCCTGCCTGCCAGGCATGCGATCCTCGTGTTCCCTTGTAAGCATCTTCAGCGACTATTGCAAGTACGAAAGGTCTCACCTTATTAAAAAATCTTGCATTCCATGTCTCTCCCGGTGGTTCTACTTCTCTGGATCTTAGCTGATACAATGATTTTCCTCCTGGGTCTTTGCTTGTGAGATCAAGAGAAAACAGGACCATTTAGAGGGCAAAGTGCAATCATTCAGATGAGTGCTGGTGGGCCTGTGACTTAACAGCAGAAGTGGTGGACATTGTTCAAATTTACTTGTGTTTTTATGCAGTTGTTTTTTTTCTTTTCTGAGAAATTAATATCTGCAGGCAGGCAACCCTTTCTTATCTTGTCATGTCTCTGCCAGCTTCCAGCACAGAAGAGATTATGAATGTTCCAGGCTATTCTTTACTTACCCTGATTACTTTCTCCCCATAAATTTTGTTGCAGTGTAATATTCATAAGGAAAGTAGTCCAAATAATAAGTCTAGAATACAAAGGTTATCAATATACTTGGTACCTGTCTGGGTATATTTATACATGGACTGCCTCTAAGTATACAGCGAGAGAAAAACTGTTGGATCAGACGATGACTTTAGTAGACAATGCCAGACGTTTTCCAAAGTGGTTATACAAATGAATTGATATTCTCCCCAGGCGTGTATGAGAATTCTGTTGCTCCAAATATTCCCCCAACATTTGGAATTTTTTCACATTTTGGCATACTGGTGGACATGTAGTGATCTGACTTCACATGATTTTAATTTTCATTTCCCTACTACTGATGTTGAAAATCACACATGTAAATTTACTGGCTATGCGTTCTCTTTTGTGAAGTTCCTTATTGATCACCTTCCTTTTTCTTGTTTAGAGCTCTCTATATATTCAGTGTGAGTCTGTAGAATCTCCTCAGTATATCTTCAACCCTTTGCTTTTTTAAATGCATGTATCTTATGAATAGAATTTCTCAATTTTAGTCTATTGTATTATTTCCCCCCTTAAGTTGGTGCATTTTATTTCCTGCTTAGGGACCTTTTGCATACCTCCAAATCATGACCATAATCTTACCAGCTTTCATCAAAAATTCTTATTGTTGATCCATTTCTCTATAATGTATGTGATTCATTGTTGTGGGTGATTGATTAAAGACTGACTCTTACAGATATCCAAACCCCAGTGAAGTCAGTGTCTTCCGTATTCTTACCATCAATCAGGTAGAACTCTGCTCTTTCCCAATGGTCTGTTTGCCTTTGTGCCACTGTTCTCTCAAGCATAACAGCTTTGAAATAAACCCGCAAGCTTTGTTCTTCAGTTTCCCTTAGCAATTCTTTGCTCTTTACATTTCCATGTACATTTTATCATCAGCGTATACATCTGTCACTATTTTAAATGACTTTCATTTTATACTTCTTTATTGGTAGTCTTTAGGAAGTCAGTTTTGTATGTTATATTGAAATTGAGCGATGTTACTAGATATTACTGTAACTTCTTGTGAATAAAAGGTTTCATTTTATTCAATTGATAAACCTTTTATGAATGTCTTGTTTTCATGCACTGAATGGTGCCTTCAACAGATACTATCTGTATTTTTGATATGCTGTTATCTTGATAAGGAATTTTACATCCAGGCTTAAGTGCTACATCCTAAAATGTCCTTGTCAGATTTTATTGTAAAAATTACTGTATTTCAGGAGTGAGTTCGGAAGTATTTCTTTTCTATACTCTAGAAGAATTTTTGTAAGCCTGCTGTCATTTCTTTCTGCATTATTTGGAATATCGATGATGAAGCAATACAGGCATGGGATTTTCAGTATTTTCTGCATTTCCATGTGGACTATCTACTGTGGAAAAAATCTTTTAAATACTGGTCAAATTTCTTCAGTAGATTTAGGATGAATGAATTTAGGAAATTGCAGTTTCTATTTCTTCTTGTGCCACTTTTCATCAATTATATTTTCCCCCCAAAATGGTCATTTAGCTAAATTGTCAAATGTTGAAAAGCTATTTATTTATTGAGTTCTTAACTCTTAAAGATCTTAGTCAGGTGCCCTTGACCATTCTGACGTTGCTGGCTCTTCCTTCTTTCTCCACTTTCCTATACCCCCTCCCTTCTTTCCTTTCTCTCTCTCTAGCGGTGAATCTATTCTTTTCAGCTCACTTGTTCATTCATTCTTTTCATTAAGGATAATCAATGGTCCTTTGCTGTATGCCAGTCACTGTGATAAGTGATAACGAAATAATAAAACAGGAAAACAGTGGTTCTTATGGAATTGACCTTCTGCTTGGAGAGGCAGGAATGATGAAGTGTGTTTGCTGATGGTACTGCAGTGGTAAAAATACCAAGCACATACTCTTCAGGAGGTGGTTTTTATTATTTCATTCACACAAGAACACAATCAAGTAGGTACTACGACCACTGTTTTAAAACTGAGGCACAAAGGGGAAGTAGAGTTTTGCCAAATACCACACAGGCCTGGGTGGGCTCATGAAAACAGCAGCAGACACCCCCAGGGCTGAAGTCTCCCCCATACTGTGTGAGCATCCTTCTAATAGAGCCTAGGGCCCGGGCACAGCCAGCCCCAGCCTGTCTGCTGCCTCAGTGCCAACCCCCAGAGCTGGCACTTAGAGAACTTGACTGCAGTTTGATGAGGCTTATTTATGTCTGAGAGTCAGTAATGAGAAGAGGGACCTTGATTCTGCAAGCGTTTTCCTTTCCCCTTAATATTCTGGCCACCCAGTTGTGTTTCTTTTTATGAAATCCTGGACAACAGTGCTTTGGGGAGGCAGGCCCTTCCTCTTTTGAGGTGCACCGCAGCCCTCTCAGGCTGCCAAAGTGTAGCCAGCACTGGAGAGGTGGCAGTCTCAGCCCTGCATGTGGACAGACACTATTTCTGTTACATTCTGAGCAAACCACATGTGAAGCAAAGCAGATTCCCACACTTGCGAGTTCTCTGCTGGTATGAAAGGCCTTTACTCTAAGGCCTCTTGACACGCACAGGGCTCCTCACTGAGGTGGCTTTTCTGATGTAAAGTTAGTTGATCCCTACGATTAAAGGTTTTCCCACATTTTTTGCACTTGTGGGGTTTTTCACCAGTGTGAATTCTGTGATGGCGGGTAAGTTCTGCGTTAACGCTGAAGGCCTTCCCGCATTCGTTACATTTGTAGGGCTTCTCACCTGTGTGTACTGTGTGATGGCGAGAAAGTTCAGCTTGAAGACGAAAGGCCTTCCCACATTCTTTACATCCATAAGGTTTCTCACCCGTGTGAAGTCTAAAATGTTGGGTGAGGTGGTACCGCCGGCTGAAGGCCTTCCCGCACTCCTTACACTCATACGGGATCTCACCGGTGTGAGTTCTCTGATGTAAGGTAAGCTGGTAGCTACAAATGAACGCATTCCCACACTGACTACACGTGTAGGGCTTCTCCCCAGTATGGGTTCTGTGGTGCTGGGTGAGATGATAATGCCGGCTGAAGGCCTTCCCGCACTCCTTACACTCATAGGGCCTCTCACCTGTGTGGATCCTCTGATGCTGCGTGAGGTGGTTGCTACGGATAAACGCCTTCCCACACTCCTGACATTTATAGGGCTTTTCGCCAGTGTGAAATCTGTGATGCTGGGTAAGTTCTGTCTGAAAGCGGAAGGCCTTCCCGCACTCTTTACACTCATAGGGTTTCTCGCCTGTATGGATTTTCTTATGCTGAACAAGGTATGAGCCGTGACTGAAGGCCTTTCCACACTCACTGCATTTATAGGGTTTTACACCTGTATGGATTTTCTGATGCTGACTAATGTGTCGCTGCACCCGAAAGGTCTTTCCGCAAATCTTACATTCATAAGGCCTCTCGCCGGTGTGAATTCTCTGGTGCTCGGTGAGGTGGTAATGGAGCCTGAAGGTCTTCCCGCAGTCGCCACATTCATAGGGTCTCGCCCCGGCATGAATCGTCCGGTGGACTCTAAGGTCTCCCACACGACAGAAGGCCTTCCCACACTCCTTACATACATAGGGTCTCTCACCAGTGTGGATCCTCATATGTTGTATGAGGTATGACTGCTGTCTGAAAGCTTTCCTGCATTCCTTGCATTCATACGACTTCTGGCCCGTGGGGGTTTCCTGATGCGGAGGAGCAGGTAGGTGTCCTTGGATTAAGGCGGGGCTAGTGCCTCCCAGCCGACGGCCTCCTCCTTTCTCAAGTTCATGTTTGCGCCGCGAATCATTTCTGCAAGTAGTGAGCTCATGGATGTCAGTTTTACTGTTCCCCGTAGTCTGCAACTGAGATAAATAGATTTCACAAATATCCTTTCCCGGAAATAACTTCTTGGGGTCGGATTTAGATTCCAAACCTGGGGGAAAAAAAAAAAAAAGGAAACAAACACATCCTATCATATTAAGTTTTTGTGCTGGGGGCAGGCCAATAGAAAGAAGAGATAAACAGAAGGGAACACACTCTGGAAGTCGGGGTTTGGAGCGGGGCCCAGCCACGTTTTCAGTCAGAGGCCAGGGGCACGGGCAGCCCCGTCACGGCTGCTCAGCCCTGCTGTGCCGACATGCAGTCACGGACAGTCCCTGCCTGGATGAGGGTGACTACGGCACACCAACACTTTACTTATGGACCCTGAAATTTGAATTTCATGACATTTGTACATGTAACAAGATATTCTCTGGATTTTTTCCAGCCATTTAAAAATGTAAACATGAGTCAGCCTGTGAGTATGAGAGATACAACAAGCAGGTGGGGAGCTGGTCATGCATGGGCAGTAGTTTGCTTGATCCTGGCTTGAGAACTCATATTACTACAAAGTGGTTTGAAAGCCAGCAGGGTGAACTGAGAGAGTGACAGGTGATCAGAGGGTCAGGTGAGCAGAGGTCCTCCCACTTCAACTCACTGCAAGGTCAGAGGCTCCCTTACATGCACTGTTCTTCAGCCACCAGTCTAGACAAAATCCATCAAAATCTATGGCATATTAAAATATCTGCAGTTCTAATCTTTTCATCAGCTAGTTTTGATGTGGCTCATTTTGAGACTCTGTTCTTAGATTTTCCCCAGAGGTTTTACTTTAGCCTTAGTCTACAACCCAAACAGAACTTGAAACCATCCAAGCAAGGATACCAAGCCCATGCTAAAAACATAAGCTCTATTCAAGCTACTGTCATCTTTTCGCTTTCAGATCCTATGATTTGCTACTACTTTCCCTGGCTCTTAAGGCTCTCCCCAGGCGGCTTCCTCTCCCAGGAGCCCTTTGCCTTTAGTCTTTGCGTGACTGGCTCCTTCTCACCCGTCTCAGGTTTCAGGTTAAATGTCATTTCCTCTGAACAGCTGTCCTCACTGACCACATCTAAGTCAGCTCATGTTCCTGGTTCCATCTTCCAGCATCTAGTTCTGTGGCTCTTCTCAATTATATATACACTGATTTCCTCATCTGTTGTTCTGTGTATTTTCTCAGGCCCGCAGTTCCCTAAGTATAGACACAACTTCTGTTTCACTCCTGCCACTGAGGAACAAGCTCTAATACATAGTCACGTTGACTAACTAGAAGAAATGAACCATTGATTTAAAAAGGTCATTAGCATGAGAATGAAAGTAATTATTATAAACAAATCACAGAAGATGGCAGCTGAGTAAAATTTAATTTCCCCAAAATACACCACCATTAAGAGTATGTCTCCCATCTCCATGTCTCATCTTGACATAGTAATTAAATATACTCTTTCTATGTGACTTATAAAAGGGGAGGAATGTACATTTGTCTAGTCTGAGATCACTCTGCTAAAAGCATAAATGGAGGGAACAGAAACAAAAAAGAATATAAAACTAAAAAGCTTGTGCACATTGAGAGAAATTCCTTAAAATAAGACCCTTTATTAAATGGGAGAAAGTATTTGCATACCAGACATTTAACAAAGGGCCAACATCCAAGTGCACAAAGACCTCATACAACTCAACAAGAAAACAACTTAATCAAAAAGTGGGCAGAAGAGCTTAAACACACACTTGTCCAAAGAAGACATAGAGGTGGCCGACAGGCACGTGGAAAAGTGCACATCAGTTATCATCAGCGAAACCAAGTCAGAACCACAAGGAGCTGCCGTCTCACACCCATGAGAATAGCCCATATCAGAAAATCCAGAAACAAGTATTGGCGAGCATGTGGAGAAAAAGGATCCCTCCCCTACACTGCTGTGAGAATGCAGTTTGGCCCAGCCCTGTGGAAAACAGTGTAGAAATTTCTCAAAATATTAAAAAAAGATCTATGCACAAAATTCAGCAATTCCACACCAAGGTGTCTACCCAAAGAATGCAAAAACATGAATTCAAAGGCACCTACACACTCCTGTTTACTGTGGCACTATTTACAACAGCCAAGGTATGGATACAACCAGAATGCCCAAGGACAGATAAGTGGATGAAGAAGATGTGGTACATACATATGTAAAAGATGTGATATTACTCAGCTATAAAAAGATGAGCTCTTGCCAATTGCGACAGCACAGATGAAATTGGCGGGGATAATGCTAAACGAAGTCAGAGTTGAGGAGGAAAACAAGGCAGTGTTACCACGCAGTGGGCAAATGGTGGTCTCAGGGCCTGTGAATGTGACCTAATCTGGAAAAAGCCTTCGCAGATATAATTAAGGCTCTTGAGATGAGATTATTCTGGATTTAGGGTAATCCTAAATATACTGACGGATATATTTAGATGAGTGAGGCAGAGGGAGATTAGACACCGGACACACACGGGCAGGTTATGTGAAGGTGTGTGAAGAGGGAGGCAGAGACCTGGCCGATGTGCCCATTAGCCAGAGAATGTCAGGGAGGCCAATAACTGTTAGAAACTGTCGGATCAACTGGCTACGTTTTTGTTTAGAATAACTGCGTCTCCTAAAGGCCTCTTTTCTTGTCTTTGTCTGGCGTGGCATCAGGCTACTATGCCGGCCTTACAGTGAGCCGGCAAGTATTCCCTCCTCAACGTTCTGTGAGAGTTCAGCTGGCTCACAAATGTGAAGGCCTAAAACAACACACTTCTAGAAGACAGAAGGCTTACAACCTTGGGTTTGGAAAAGCCTTTTTAGATACGATACTGAAAGCACCATCATAAAAAAGACACTGTGGCCGTTTCTTAAAAATGTAAATATATTTAAATTTACTTATATTTACCAAAGACAAATGAAAATATGTCCATACTTGTACAGAAATACTTATAGTAGTTTTACTTCTAAATACTCCCAAACTGGAAATAACCCAATGCCCATCAAAAGGTAAATGGCAGATGTGACATCGCCATACAGTGGAATGCTAGTCAGCGATAAAAGAGGCTGAGCCTTTGACACAAGGAACAGCAAGGATGAATCTCAAAATAATTATTGGACCGAATGTAGCTAAATAAAAAATTGCTGCGTGACTCCCCTTGCAAAAAATTCCAGAAAATGTCAATCAACTGATCTGTAGTGACAGGAAGCAGATCACTGGTGGCCTGGGGTGGAGTATAGTGGCAGGAGGGAGGGGCTGCCTTTGGGGGTTATGAGTGCACATTATTTTAATTGTAAAAATATTACCACACCTGAAAACTTAATAAACAGCCTAGTAAGATCTGCAGCTTATTATGAAACCTGACGCAAAGATGGGTCCATTTTATATTATGTAAATTATACCTCAGTCTGTCCACTAAGGCTGATATGCCTGGCCCACTAGCAACTCCACTTCGCTATATTCCCAAGCGAAATGGAAACATGAAAAGACAAAAACGATCCTGTAAGCTGTTCAGGTCAACTGCCATAATCTGGTTTGGGAATACACACGGATGACACTTGATCTCGGAGTCTTCGCAGCTGCTGTTTGCTCTGCCTGGGTGCTTTCCCTCCACTTTCATCTGGCCAGAAATCTCACTTCACATCTCGGTGCAAAGGCGGTCCCTTTAGAGCAGGCTTGCTCCAGAGCATCTAAGTTAGCCTTGCCCATAAACCCGCCGTCTGTCTCCTGACCTCGCTTCATTTCTTCAGGACACAGACACCAACCTGCTGCTATCTGTCTGAGGGCCTGCGACTGTGGTGCCTCTCAGTGCCGTCAGCACCTCCGGGAGCTGGGGTGCTGCCGACAGCCACAATGCTCGGACTGTAGCACAGCTTGGTTTCAAGTGAGTGAGTAAAGTAAGCTCCGGCAATGGGGAAATAAATAAGGGGAACTGGAAACACAAGGAAAGCAGTCGGCGGGGGTCAGCGGGGGAAGGCAAGCAGCCGCCTTTTTGAATTATGAGGGAAAGAAGAGAAAGAGCGTGGCAGATGGGGAGAAAGGTGACCTTCCTTTGGTGACTCAGGCTGAAAGGATCTTTCCCCTGGGTCTCAGGAAAGGGTGCTTTCGGAGCAGCACCTCAGGGGTGTGCCCTGCCGCACCTGCCATCACTCACCTGTGCACCTGTTCCTTGTCCCCTCTCTCCTTACCGTCCAGGGCGCTTTCTCTTGCTCCAGTAAAGTAATCACCTCTGGCTTAGGGATGGAACATCCTGCTCAGGAGACAAGAAATGCCACTTAATTTAGAACAAACACAACTCCTGACGCTCACGATGACTTAATTCAGATGTGGTTACACTGATGTTAAACTAGATAGGTCTAAATGATACTTGATGAAACGAAAAAAGCCACTGGATAATAATGACGTTTAGATGGACTAAATATTAACAATCAGACAGAGAAGGGAAAAGGTGTGTCTTGGGTAGCACAGGGAGAGGTTGAAGACACATTCTGGAGCGCTATGACCTGGGTTCAAAACTTGCCACCTGTCAGCTTGTGTCCTGGAAAAGTTACCCTCCAAAGGTAAAGGTAAAGGTCTCTTTATCAAATGCAAAATAGGGCTGATATTACCTGCTGTTTTGAGAATTAAATGAATTAAAGGTTTAAGGCTTAAAAGGATGCCTGGGACACAGCATTAGTTTTACTCTCTTAGTTTGTAAAAAAAGAATTTAAATTTAAAACTTTCAGGTTCTTCAGCTATTTTCTCCATAGAAAATGCAAAATTCACAGACTCAACGGGCAGGTTTGCATGAATTCTAAGTGGATCTGGTCAACTCAGGTACCAGTACACAAGTCCGGCGGCGCCTGTGAGGAGCAAAGGAAATGAGGAGGTGGACCAGCCATGAGCACAGGGCAGCGACGGGAGTCCTGAAGATACAGCTTACCTCATACCTGGCGTCTCTGAGACTGTTGCAGAACTCAAACCTGGGGGTCATGTAGAAAAACAGGCAAATGCAGGAAGGAGTGAAGGTCACTAAGAGCGGGAAATGCAGGTGCTTAAGGGAAATGCCCACTTCTAAGCCATCAGTGCTCAAGCCATTTCTTTCAAAATGGGGCAGAAATTCAGGTTTCTTAAAATAGAGTTCTGAAATGCAGCAATGGAGAAAATTGTTCTGGAAAACAGACTGCAGTTTGCACAGACCCTTACCCAGTGAGACCAGGTTGCTGTAGTTCTCCAACATCACATCTCTGTACAGGGCTCTCTGCACGGGGTCCAGGCACTCCCACTCCTCCTGGGAGAGGTCTATGGCCACGTCTCTGAATGCCAAGGACATCTGAAGTGACAGACCCATGCATTATAAAAGTTTTAAATGTATTTTCAAGACCGCTTTGCAGGAAAGAGGCAACATAACAGGAAAATGGGTTCAAGCCTGATATGTGCAGAGAAGAATAAGGAAATTCAAACTTCTAAGGTGCAGTGCTTATATGCTTTTAAAGCATACTGCTGGTATGAACAAATCACCCTCTATACTGGGAATGACATCATTATCTGGGAATGAATAAAAATAAGGAACATTTCCTAATGAAGCAAAATCATACTGCCTATCCTATAAAGTTCTGCATTTTAAACATCTGAATTACAAGTTCTGAGTAAGAGTGCATGTTCTTTTATTTCCAAAGAATGAAAGTTAGTGAATTTCTCCTTCCAAAGTACTATAAGATATCTCTTAACAAATACAAGTAGATTAACATTTGACATCATTGAAACTCAAGCTCATTACATATAACATCATAATCATCTACCCTTGGACCCATACACAAAATAGCTGACTAAATGTCCATCTTGCAAATACAGCAGACCAAGTCTTTATGCACAGCAGTTCAAAGTCTTCCTGAACCCTGCATGGACGTGTGTCCACCCACCATTAAGAATTAGGAGGATCTTAGAGCTGCCATCAGTGCTGTCTCTTAGGGGAACCTGCCTTAATCCTGAGCTAGAGGATGCTGATGTTGAATGACCCACAATGATGACGATTTCACTGGGCAAAGCAGATGAACAGAGCTTGCTTCTCTCTCTACTTCTCCGCTGAACAGACAACCAAAATACCGTTTTGTGTCTAATCCTTGTAAAAGATCTTTAAATCCCTATAACAGTAAATGAAAATCAGCTACAACTTAAATTTGGAGTATAATTGTTCATCACGATGGTCATTTTCCTTTCTTATGATAAATTCTTTATAAATCTTAATTCATTGATTCCTGGGGAAAATCCCTGCCTCTGATTACACAGATTTCTATGGTCAGACTCCAGTCACCTCCTCCCTGCTCTGAAAAGCCTTAAAAGGTAGATGACCTTGGGACTGGCTTACAGACTTACCCCTTACCCCGTCTGTACCAAACCCCGTCTTGATTATGCCTTCTTTGTAAAATGTTTTAGAGATCAGTGACACAGTTCCACTTGCACACTAACTTCAGTAAAACAATGTCTAAATTTTAGACTCCAGGATATGCATTTCTTACTGTACAAAAAGTGAGTGCAGGGGAATGAGTTGAAAAAATGAGCGGAGCACTTGACACGAACCCATCGTCCACAGGAAGGAAAGTCTGGGGGTCCCCGGGACTTTTCAGTAAGCGAAAAGCAAATGTTTCCAAGTACGAAACACAGAAAGTAAAGTGTGAACAAAGGGAATACAGGCTCACCTGGTCTGGTCTTTCAGACGGTCAACAGCTGAGACGTTAAGGCGAGATGGCCCTCCTTGAAGGATATTTCGGGAAGTGGCAGGACTGGGGAGGAAGGAACGAGAGACACCACACCTTTCTCAAAGCAGAGACATCCCCGCCAGGGTCGCATCTACCTGACCTCTCTTGTATAACCAGAGGGAGGCTAGAATCAGTCTGAATCCACAGAAGATTCCAAAGATCCGCGCGCCGGGAGTGCTGCGGTTCCGAAAACTGGAGCAGCCCCAGAGCGCCTCCCAGCCCACTCCGCCCCGGCAGTCCCGCCGTCTCAGGGACCCTTCACGCTCCCCAAGTCCCGCCCAAGCCCGGCGCTGTGCCGACTTGCTGGGAACCTTCATCTTAGGGCTCAACACTGACTTTCCCCCTGGGGACATTACTCTGTGCGGACATTCAGGGCCGTGACGGGCGCGGGGAAGGCGGCAGGAGCAGACGCGGGACAGTGACACGCACGGCGGGGCCAACCCCCACAGCCACACCCACGGCCACGGAGGCGCGGCCCGGCCCAGGCGGGCGAGTCCCGCTACTTCTCACCTAGCGCCGACTTCGTCCCCGGCTGTCGCTAACTCACCCGCGGCAGCTGAACTCCAAGAACCAACCAGAGAGGGCCCTCAGGGTCAAGGCTAAGGTGCCCTCTGGGGCTTCTGGGAAATGTAGTTCGCGGCCGGAAGCCGCTGCTCTCGGGCTCCCACTGCGCAGGCGTAGGCGCAGGCGCAGGCGCACACGCAGAACTGTCATCAACCTGAGTACTGGGCACCGGCGACTTACGGTGAGCGGGTCCCCCGAGCCGCGGGCCCTCTGGACTCTGCAGGGCGCACAGGGTCGCCAGGGTTCTGGGCCGCAGAATGCACCCGTGGGTGTGGCCCTGTGGCCGAGCCCCGAGAGGCAGAATTTTGTCTTTTCCTGCGGTCCTCCCCAGCCCCCTTGCAGCGGGGTTTCGTTGTGAGTGTGAGTGCGTGTGTCACGCTGAGGGTGGGGGTTCGACCGCGTCTCTGGCGAGCGTGATTTGTGACCGTTAGCAGCGAGGTGACAGGCTCGGTGGGAGTCTGGGCTGGGCTGTGACTGGGGAACTATGTGTGGGTGCTGGGGTCTCTGTGAGCGGGGTGCTTGAGTGCTGGGTGTGAGCGAGGCTGTGACACGGGTTTGTGTGACCGCTGTGGCGCGTCCTGAATGCCATGGAGACCAGGCGCTGCCGTCGGTGTGTGCCGCAGTGGGATAAAAGGTTGTGTGTTGCATCTTCTCACATCTTTATTTAAATATGGGAACCCGATATTGTTGGCCAGATCATTTTGTCTTTTTACATAAGAATGAATGTTTCCATGCATAAAAATGCAAGCAAGTAACTTTTTAAATATGAAAGAATTCTTTATGCGCCCTCTGTACAGTTAGGGGTCTTTGGCAGATAAAATTTGAGAATCTGGACTGAGAAAATAGCTTTATGCTTGCTTGGAAAGACACTGTGTCTTTGGCTTAGTGTGTCAGAAGGCCTGAATGCTAGGTCGCACTCAGTTCACTACTTTAGGGAAAACCTGTGCAAGTAAAGGCAGACAATGTGGTTAAGAAACTCAGTGCATCAGAGGATAACTTGCGTTATTTCAAATTATACCACTATGATTCTTCCCCGTCTCTTCCTGAACAATTCAGCTCTAAAGCCACAAGATGGGCTCAGAGCAGGGTCTTAGATCCTGAGCAGGGTGAGGAGGGTGAGTGTGCAGGAGGTGACTTTGTGTCATTTTAAAAAGTACCGAATTGAGGGCCCTCCCTGGTGGCGCAGCGGGTTAAAGCACTGCACTGAGAAGCTAAAGCCATTTCCGCATGAGTTCAATTCCCGCCTGCCCCGGAGGTGACCACATGGCGTGGCAGACCTCTCCTGACCCACCCGCTGCTCCCCTCAGCAGTGTGCTTCCTCGATCTGCCTGTTCTGCTCCCCACTCTGTCTCTGGTGAAGCCTCTCACCGCCTCTGACCTGTACCCCAGTTCTGTATGTACAAATAAATAAATCTTAAAAAAAAAAAAAAAGTACCGAATTGAAAAGGTCAAATATCGTAGGAAATACACAGCAAACCAAAAGCATTGCCATGGCACCCTCTGCCGTGAGTTCCCTATTTCCAAGCGGCAACAACTTCCATTCTGGTTGAAGTTTGTCTTTCTCGACTAGATGCTTTTGTAAATATCAAGTTTCACTATGAGCTGCTATGGAAAGTGGAGGGTGAGGACTGCAGGTATCTTCACAACCAACCTTCCTCTCCTGCTGCTCAGTATCTTCAAGATAAACCCCTTTTTTGCATGACAGGACTAGGGTGAATAGGCCCAGGTGGGGGTGAGGGGGATGATTCACCACAGACAGGAAATCCACCGCTAAGGGGAACATTGGGGAGACAGGAGAGGTCTGCTGTGCCATGTGGGTCAGTTCCGGGGGCCGGGGATTGGACTCAGGCTGTTGTGGCAGCACTGAGATTTAACCTGCAGGGAGGCACAGATGAACCCTTTAGTTGCCTGCCTGGGTTTGTGACCCTCCCACATGGCACTCTCACTGGCCCCCTCCCGTCTACCCAGTCTGTGGTCCTGCCTTTCTGGAACAGACTTGTGGCCTCACCCAACCATCTATCAGGAGGGGCCCAGAGTGTCCAAGGCCGAGATTCTCCAAAGAAGTGAAACTTCTAAGAGGAAATTAAAGTGATTCAATCTTGTCTATTTTATTGAATAAACCAGATGCTGGTAAAGAAAAAAAAGAGAACTTGGCTTGGGGACAAAGGCTGGGAGGCGAGAGAAGCCTCTGCCTTGTGGCGTGGGGCTGAGGGGTCACTTGTAAAACTCGTGCTCCTGCTCGTCCTTCTTGATGACCGTCTTGTACGCCTTCTCAAAGTCCTTGGCCAGGACGATGTAGCGGTTCTCACGGACGGCCAGCATGCCGCTCTGTTGAAGGAGAGTTAAAGTGGGCTCCCTGCATCCCGTACCTCAGTGATGGCAGAGGAAGAGGCCCAGGACCCCAGGGAGGCAATGAGGGCTGGAAGGATGGCAGCAGAGGTCTCAGAGGCAGGTCCTCACAGCCCACACCCATCCAGAGAGACACCGGCACTCACCTCCTGACAGATGGAATTGATGTCAGCTCCCGAAATCTTATCTGGCCGGGCCACATCTATAGCGGGTGAGTGAAGGAAAGCCTTCTCCACATGGGGGGGGGGGGGGGGGTGGGGGGGGGAGAGAGCCAGCTCCGGGGAGTCACCCTTGAGGGGTGCTGGGCAGCACCCCTCCTCCTGGGACCCAACTTGGGTCCCAACTCTGCATCCAAACAGCCTGGGTGGCAGCAGTGGCAGGGACAGAGATGGAGGTTCAGCCCTGCCCCCCATTCTGGGGCCCCCACCCACACTTGGAGAACAGGATACAATCTTCCAGGTCAACCTCCTCAGAGAGGTTCATCTTGCTGGTGATAGTGGAGAAAATCAATCTCTTTTGGCGGCGGTCAGGGAGTGGAAACTCGATTTTACGGTCCAGGCGCCCTGGCCGCAGCAAGGCGGGATCCAGAGTGTCTGCTCTGTTTGTGGCCATGATCACCTGGCATTGGGGACAGCTGGCTCAGACTTCAAGCCCCACCACGCTGTCCTTCCCCTTATAACCCCTCCCACACAAGCACATTCCCACACCACACCTCCCCCGGCAATCCCGAACACCAAACCTTGACGTTGACATTCTGGTCGAATCCATCCATCTGATTTAGCAGCTCCAGCAGGATCCTCTGAACCTCCCTGTCAGCTGGAGACAGTGAAACAGTCAGGCCAGGCCAGGACAAGCAGCCTGCCCCAAGCCCCAGGCCCCAGGCCCTCTTTGGGCACCACTCACCCCCGGTCTGGGCATCGAATCTCTTGGTTGCGATGGCATCGATCTCGTCTATGAAGATGATGGCAGGTGCGTTCTCCTTGGCCAGGCGGAACACGTCCCGGACCATGCGGGGGCCCTCACCCAGGTACTTCTGCACGAACTCCGAGCCCACAACCCGGATAAACGCAGCTGAGGGTGGGAAGATGGGGTAAGATGAGGGCTCGTTCTAATTTTCACTGAACTGGAAATTCCTTGCCGTCAGCCCTCTGGAGGCCCACCCCGGCCATTCTCCCACACCAGAGCTGGTCCCAGCCCCTGCTTGCACCCCCCCGCAGAGTACTCAGAGCAAGCCAGCAGCCCAGACCAGGATTTCTGCCCACAGATGACTATTTTGGCATTAATTTAAAACCTGGAATATTGGAAAAAAAAAAAAAAAAGCCAGCATATCTATGCTCTCAAGAACCCCGTGGGTAAGAGCTAGAGACATTTATAGACCTGTGAACCAAAAAAGAAACCAGGATTTCTGGAATACTTTTAGCAGTCAGTGAGAACAGCTTGTCTGCACACGACGACCTCACACTGCTTCCTGGGGAGCCCGGCTGGTAGCCGGTCCCACTCCTGACTTCATGACAGCTGGCAACGGGGTGGATGACAGGTTTGTTCTGGGCTCTTTTAAACTCGGATCTTAAATATAGTTTAGCTTAGTGACCAGACGTGGCTGTGTTGTGTAGCGCCTTCCAGCCCCACAGAAGAGGAGACAGCCCAGGGCTCCACCACAGACCAGCTGTGCGAGTGGCCTCTGCCCCCATGAGCCCCCTCGTCCTGACTTCACCCCAGCTCAGGCCCTGCTCCTGGTTCCTACATCACCTGGGGCTCCTTCAACACCCTGCCTCAGGAGTCGACCACTCCTGCTCTACTAAACTCACCCCAGCCCCTTGCTGTGGCTGTACTTTTACATGGCTCTTCAGGGATCCAAACTGCCCTGGAAGGCCCCAGTCTCTGGAGTCCCCTTTCTGGCCCTTGTCTGTCTGCCTCTCCCGGGGTCGCCCTGGTGCCGTCCCAGCCCTGCCTTCCCGTCCTCCCCTCCTCTCATCCTATGTTTCAGTAACTGTTTCCTGCTCACCGAGAACTTCTACTTGCTGTTCCCCACTCTCAGGAAGGTCACCAATAGCCACTGGAATGGCCAGGCCAGAAACCAGGAGTGACTCCTGATTCCTGCCCACTTGCCAACCAAGAATACACTCTGGCTTTTACCTTTCATCCCTACCAGCTCTGCCCAAGACTCCCATCGCCCTAGATCACAACTAAGTTCTAAACTTTCTCCTCCCTCCAGGTCACCTCCTGCTGCCACAAAACTCTTTCAAAAAGCTAATGTGATCACACCACTTCTCCAATATAGTAGCCACAGAGCCACTGAAATGTGGCTGGTCCAAAGAAGAGGTGCTGTAAATGTAAAATACAGACTGCCCGAGACTTAGTACAAAAAAAAGTAAAATAGCTCAACAAGCAAAAGGGTGAGTAAAGCTCAGCCTTAAAAAGGGATGGGATTTTAAATGGTACGACATGAATGAAGCCTGAAGACAAATGACAAATAGTTACAATTCATCCATTTTTCTGAGGTTCCTAGAATAGGCAAATTCAGAGAGGGTAAAAGTGGAATAGGGGTTCCCAGGGGCCAGGCAGAGGGAGAAGGGGAGTGTTTTGATCAGTAGGTACAGCGTTTCGATTTGGGGTGATGAGAAAGTTCT